GGCTTGGGTGGTTTGTATAACTTGGCTTTCGATATGGGTTCTAGGTTATACGAAGGGGAGGGAGCAGACTGCTTTTATACAGTGTGCATTGTTTGGAGTAGCGGATTCCATTCTCGTACTTGAACGAAAGTGTTGACAGAGTTTCCGTCACTGTTGCTGTGGCCGTCTGCTCTTCGACCAGTGTTGGTATGTTCTTCATGCCATATTTGAACAAACATCGTGCTTGTTGAGATAAATAGATGTATGCTTCCATGATCATGACTGTAAACATAGATGCCATCGGACACAACCGATTGAATCGTAACACATCCTCTTAAACATTCTTCAGACCCCCACGAAACACCTCCCTCCCTCCCCTCCCTCTCTCCCCCATCCACCTACCCAAAAGCCGGAGCCAACGCATACCCCACAACCAACTCCTCGCCCTGCCTAAAGCAGCTCCACAGATTCCCGACTCCCTCATCCAACGCAGGACTAAACACATTGCCCACATAGCAAAACACGCTCTCGTGCTCCTTAACCCCCAGCCGCTTCCGCAGAAAACGTACTATTGTTGCGAAAGTCTGGTTGGTGGAGAGCTTGAAGATGCGTTGGGTTAGGTGGGGGGCTGAGCCTATGGGTTGGAGACGGATTGTAACTGTGGTGGGGGGTTAGTGGGTAATGAGGGAGGGAGGGGAGGTGGACTGGGATGGGATGGTGTGGATGGGGGATGTAGAGTGTTTTCGTTGTTGATGGGTTGGAAGATGGGTAGATGAAAACGGATGGGGATACCTTTCTGAACAGCGAGGTTTCCTGCTCCTTCCAACGCTTTCGAAGCGTCTTTGGGTAGGTTGGTCAACACGACTGAGGCTGCCATGGTGAGAGGCGCTTCTGTAGTGTCATCTTCCTCCGGCATCCTTTCTCTTGGTGATTCGGACATGGCGAGGGTTGATGTGTACTGATGCGAAGCGAAGAGTGAAGTGCGGTTACAGCAACTATTTTGGACTGAGTGTGAAAGGCCAAAGAAGATAAGGAGGACTGATCTGGGAAAAGCGAATGTTTGTGGGTCAGTGTTCGTTCGAGGCAAGAGCGATGGTCACGATGGAAGGTGTAAACGTCGGCCTAGCCAATCAGCGCCCCACTACCCCAACATCACTTCAATGCTTAAGACCGTTGATCAACCATATCATCTTTCGCATTGATATCTAGTGTTTTCTACATATCTGATACGATAATGATATATAACATAGCCTCCAGTATGGCGTCGTCCGCGTTCGTCGCCAAGTAACCTCCTCAGTATGACAATGTTCTACAAACCTCCATAGTAGTACCAACCCTCGTTTACTGAAAACACACGCGTGTACACCACCAGCCAGCCGGTTTGCAAAGCGCAACAACCAGCAAAGATGACCCGAAGGTCATGACGCAATAGCTATATACAAAGGGGATGCATGCATCGTTAAGCCACCAGGGATCAGTGATCATGGGCCTATACAGGGTAAGGAAATGGAGCAAGTCAAGCTATGTCGCCAATAAGGGGAAAGGTAGAAGCTGCGCCTCGAAAATGCTATGGAAACGGGTATTCGCTCGCAGAGTAATGCCATGCGCCCGGGGGCGAGAAGTGAACAACAGGTGCGATAGGAAATTATGTCGTGGGTATTAGTGAGGTCGTGCATTACGCCGTAAGGGATGCAATGTGTGGCCGTGTAGTCTGCATGAGCCGCAAGGCTCATCGACGATCAAGTTGGGCGAGTAGCTGGTCAAGCTCAACCCAGTTGTCCGTGGTGACTGCGAACTTGCGGTGCTTGCGGGAAACGACGTGCTGTATGTTGTCAGTATGTTGTTTGTAAAGGAATGCTCGTAATGCGTACCTCGTCAAAGTCATTGAACTTCTCCCTGCAGTTCTCGCAGTAACCAGGCTTCAACTCCTTCTCAGCAGTCTTGCGCCTGCGGAGGGCTGCTGCTTTACGAGCTTGTCTTTCTTCGTCTCCATCATCGTGTGTGTGACCCATGTTCTCCTGGGCCTTGCGCTTTGCCGCGCGCATGGGTTGAGAATGCTCATAGCTGAGCGCAGCCCTGACATCGTTTGTAACGGACGAATGGCCACTATTCGTATTCGCCGACGGTACGCTGTTCTTCTCTAGGACCTTTCGTTTCAGCTGGTTGACTTCCTTGCTGTTTCCAGCACGAGGGGCAGCAGCAGTCGAGGAGATCATTTGCGAGCGGATAGCGGACGTGATGTTCGATTGGTGTAGACCAGACGCGACCGGCTCACCAGCGATGAAACGGGGCATGGCTCGGATGCTAGCCTGAGCACTGCCAAACATGGGTGGTGGGCCGTCTGCCGTGTTGCATCGCTTGGGAGGAAGGGCCTTTGGAGGATCTAACGGTTTCGCATCTCCATCCTGTTCTTCTTTGACGATGGCGGCAGGAGCGCTGGGACGCCTTGCCAGGTTGTTGTTCTCTCCCAAAGCATTCTTCTCTTCCATAGCTGAAGCAGCACGCGTCCGTGGCGCTTGAGCAGCCTGCCTTCGGCGTGCTTCCTGCTCTTCCTGCTGTCGGCGACCGAAATGGGGATCCTCCACGAACGGGCACTTGCCGTTACCCGAGGCACGGAACTGCGGCCATTTGCCCTTCTCTTTCTCAACCTTCTGGTATTCTCGGATCATGACGGGTCGGGTAACCTCGTCCATATCGTGCACGTACACGTAGTATCCACGGAGCGGAATCATGTCCTGCGAGGCCATGACGTAGTCGCGGTCCAACTTCTCATTTTGTAGCAGCCTTTGCAAATCGGCGGGACGGCCCTTGTGCTGCGTAGCCACCGCCTGACGTGTCGAATGGGTAGACGCGTCCTCCCCAGTCTCCTTATTGAACATGGTATCCACCATGCGTTGCAACTTCTCGACGGACCATATCTTCATACCCAAGCTCTTAGCCTTGTACAGGATATCACCACGGTCGGACTTCTCGAGGGCGGCATCGAAGATGGACTTCTTGTTCTCCAGCTGGGCCGGGTTGACGGTGCCTTTGTGGGAGGATGAACTGCCATCGAGGTCGGCGGGAATGGAACGCGTCGTGATGACATGGGTGACTTCCCGAGAGAAGAACTTGACTTCTCGCTGGTGACTGTTAGCACGACGGATGTAGGGAAGGGTGTGCCAGACGTACGGAACCTAGGACGCGTGCCCTGTTCAAAAGTTTGTCTTTCTGGGGTTCTGAGACGCTGTCAAAGTAGAAGGCAAACTGGGGAAACAGCTTGCGGTAGTGACGCTGCCATTGTCGAATCGTTTCTAGGTCGTGAGATGCACGCTGTGCGGCCTGCTTTGACGGGGCCTTGGTATCTCTTGCTGCTTCCAGCTTGCGAGTCAAAGCCGTGGGCTGGGCCCCACTCCGACGAATAAGGCCGTGACGGCGAGCTTCAGCATCATCGACCTCGATGAGCTGTTTTTTGGGTGGTGGCTGGCCATAGGGGACATCGCGTTGCTCGCTGGCGTGGGAGCGTTGGCGCTTTCCTCCTATGGCAGTCGCGCGTAACGGGGAGTTGGTAGCGTTTTGCAGGTTGGCGAGGGGGACGCGCCGGTTCGACATGACTGAAGGAACCTGGGGCGACGGAGGGACAGCCACTGCTGCCATACGTATGATAGCGGCTGAGGGTGCTTCGAGGTGTAATAGACGGGCGTGGTGGGAGGGGCACGTGTGCGTGTAGCTCACGACGCGACGGTACAGGCACGTCGAGGTTTTCTAGCAACGCGTAGCAGCCATGTCGATGCGAGGGAGCTTCAGAGACCGAGTGAGATGTTGACCACACAGCAATTGAGCGAAGGTGAAGCGCGTTGCAGACGTCGATCTGCTTTCATCGACCAAGGAAAGAGTGTCTTTGTTTGGTCCGGAGGCTGGGTACAGTATGATGCAGGTGCAGGCTAGAGCGACTGTGGTTAGCCTGAAAATCTCGCGCGAACCATCCACAACATCATTTGCCTAGACAACGACCTGGGCAAACAATACACCCTTGCCGACAACACCGTCAGTGCGCCCTGCACGACATCTCGCGTCTGCGAATCTCCCACCGTATTGCTGGCTCACGATTCAGCGTATCAGGGGAAGATTTGCAGCTTCTGCATGCGGCGCGCCTCTGCTGCTTGCACCGACGCCGACCCCACTTCTCCTGTCTCCTGTCCTGGGAGTAATTCGACGGCGAGCGCTGCACCATTAGGCCCGTCTCATTTCGCGTCCTTAGGCCAACATTGGCTGGTGAAAAGCTCCCACGTCTTCCATTTCCATGGGACCGTGACAGCTTCAAACTTATCAAGGGTCTGGATGATGGAGGCTTTTGTGGGTAGCCGGAAGTGTCACCCACCTTGGCCGCGACTTTGTTCTATGGGCCACAAAACACCGGAAGCGTCAGGAACAGTGCATACAAGAATAGACAAAACACACACGTACAAAGACGTCATGTCGATGATGTACGTTCTGGGTGCTCCAAAGTATTTAACAGGTATTGGCAAGACGCAGGTTTTCAACGGAACACACTATGAGATGTCATGGACTCTGCATATACGGTCGTAATTAGCCCCCAACACAGTAGGTCAGCTGTTGCACATACGTTCCTACACGCTTCTTTTAAGTCTTACAATATGTTCTCACACTCTATTTCGTTCTCGTGGCTATCACCCTCTCGGTTTCCATCGCTGGCTCGTCTGGAGCTTTGCTGCCTTGCCACCCTGTACCATATCCCGTCGATGTTACTTTCATTATCGTATAGAATATGTGGAAGCCAGAACTCTGCGATTATAAAAAAGTGTGATATCGGACTTGCACATCAAGATCATGATCATAACACCAGGTCGCCCATCATTCCTTCACGTCTTGCTCAGTGAAAGGTCTACGCGTGCGGATGGTGACCTGATCATTCACTTTGACTTGGGCCAAACGCAAACAGACAGCGCCTATAAATTCTCTGGACTGCTTATTTCTCGCACCTCCACTCTCCTAACTCGACTATATACAACATCGTCACCATGACCGATTCGTATCGTCCGCCGTACAATTCCAACCGACAATGGACACCAGCGTCTGCACCTTCTGAGGCTGCGCTCAACTACGACGACGCGGATGTGAACCGTATTCCGATCAATCCCCGCCGTTCCAACGCCGCAGTTCCAGCTCAATCATCACGGCTATGGGACGAAGACCTGAACTCCCTCATGCACCGCACTATCCGCGCCTACGATCTCGTTGTGAACTACGTCCGCGATTCTCACGGCGGTACCCGCTGGTCACGCGAGGACATTGATCGCATTCGAGACGTCGGCGCCTATCTTCATGGCGACGTCCGCGATTTGAAGCACTGGAGTGAAGTGGTAGCAAAGGAGGGAGAACAAGATGCCTACACTATGGACAAGATCCGCGATGACGTCGAAAACTTGCGGAAGTACTGTGAGCAGATTCAAGCCATCATCAGGGATACCGAACGTGTTCCTCTGCGCCAACGTATGACACGAGACGATGGAGTGCAGGCTGGTCAGTATGTGGATGATGGTCATGGTTTTGGTGGTGGTAAGAGCATCTTCCCTGGAGGTGGCGCCTTAGTACTGACTTCTCGCTGCCTCCAGATACCAACCAGCTCGTCGAGAGCACTCAAGAAGGCGAGGATATGGACGTCGAGATGATTACCGACCTGGAGGAGAAGCCTGAAGTCGTCGATCCGACACTTAATCCACGGCAGGCAGTCTGGGCAACCACACCTTCAACGCGATTTGCTTGGTGAACGGTCGTACGTATTTGTACCCAGGTAGCCTTCTCAGACGTGCATTTCTGCAACGGATACTGTAGGACGAGTGCTAGATTAGTTCACGTAGCATGTTGGCGTCGTATCTTCGTCGTGTGTGACGATGCAAAGATATCCAAATGTTCCTACACGTTTTCCACGTTCCAGCTGATTGGTGCTCGGTGCTCGGCTATCTCAGGACCCCTGCGCAACGGCCTGCACCTGTGGTGTGAGCGACTCAACGCTTTCACATGCTTGCAACTCACAACTCTCGAAAATAGCACGGATTCGGAATAATGCCGTCTGCGCCAAACGAGGATAGCCGCTGTGCGGCGGCTGTCGCAGCTCTAGGCTTATCTCGCATATTTTCATCGTCCTCGATCTTCTCCCGTTTCCATTCGGCTGCTTCCTATTCGTTTGCGTTCGCGGAAGAGTCTGGGTGAAGTCGCTGGGATCGACCGCACAGCTTTGGTGGATACGCCCGCGAGATAAGCCGAAAGTATGCTGAGGGTTGAACGCGCTGATATCTGCACGTCGACTCTCGACATGGCGTCTCTTGACACGCCGTCTCTTGACACGCCGTCTCTAATGTCAGGGGATGAGACCAGCTTCCGACCCAGCATGCTCTACAGCGTCCTGCCCACCGTCGTATCGAACCATCTTCCGACGATACCCTCGCTCCGACAATCTCTCAACGACGTACGAAACCGCGGATCACATAGTAAATCAGCCTCTATCGACGAACTACCACAGCCCGAGACTCCTCCTCCAGGCTATTCGTCGATACCCCCGAGTGGTGCCGTCACACCACATAGACTGTCAGTTGCGTTGGGCGAGGCAGACGTCGAGTTCGTGGACGATGGACTGGACAGACCTGGCTCTTCAGGAAGCGCACGTTCACAGCCACATGGTGCTCACGAGGGCGGCTGTGGCATCAGATGGAAGTATGCTACTTTAGGTATGGAATGTCCCTCGCGAATGTGGGCACTGCATGCTCATACCCTACAGGAACAAGCCTCATGGCTCAAGCATCTCGAGAATCAAGCGAAACGATAAATAGCCCCGACGAGACATCCGCGACGCTGACTCGACAGCTCTATATACACGGCATAACATATCTTCTTCGGGGGCTACCAGCGAAGCTCACCCCAGAAGAGACGTTGAGCATACAAGCGGCTCTTCCACACGACGTGGTCGACACAACGAACGACGTAAGCGCACGCGCGTTACTCCCAGTCTCGCAACGCAGCCCTAGTACTCAGAGAGCGCCTCCACGAAACCCCACGATCCTGCACCGTCTGACTGCCACCCTCGTCCTCCAGTCCTTCATTCTCATGCAGTTCCTTCTACCATACATCAAGCTGTTCCTATCACACACCTACCAGTTCGAGAGGAAGCATCAGATCACAAAACGGCTCGTCAATACAGGCGTCGCGACTGTCGACGATATCGGACGGAAGACGCTGCGGTTATCACAAACCGTATGCCAGATGAACGACGGGATGGTGGGACAAGCGATCAACGAGATGACCATTTGGTGGGTCAGAGGTGTCACCGGAGGTGTTCAACAAGGTCTCGCAGAGGGATTGCAAGCTATGAGGATAGCGGAGAGCCAGCGGGGTGAGGAGAGTATGGGGCGGATCAACTGAGTAATTGGACTGCATTAGCTATGGCGTTAGGCATCTGCATAACTCGATAGACTGACGAATTAATGATATGCATCGACTGTTCCGTCCGAGCTGCTGGACCCTGATCATGTTCTACACGTGATCAGCCGCTTATCGTTATCGGGCGGACTTCCTAGCGCGTTGTCGACGCACGTCCCTTGGAAAAGTGCAATGGCAAAGTTTCTAGCGGTAACATTCTAACGAGTACACGCCATTCCTTTCTCCCCATTCGCCGTCTTCCTTCAGGCGCACACGCAGAGTACTCTAGTTGCTCATTCTAATCGTTCAATATACTCTCTGTTACGAACGAGTGTGTACCATTACCCGCACATCATGTTCGGCGCAGTGAGAAGATGTCCCGCGACCCTCGCGAGGAATCTTGCCTCAATCTCCACCAGGACCCTCCGCACACCCTTCCCTAATACCTCGAGCGCCTTAAGAATACCATTACAGTCAGCGCGCCTCGGAAACGCCTCGTTCGCTGGTTTCCACAACAGCGCCGCAAAGTGGCAACAGGAGGCTCAGCAGAGCATTGAGGAAGATGGTCCCGTCACAGAGTTCCAGGACCTGGCCACACGCGGCCTTGTTCACCCCAACCTAATCAACACTATCACGAGGCAAATGAAGCTCACGACCATGACGGACGTGCAGTCCAGGACCATCAACGAGGCGCTGAGCGGGGTTGACATGTAAGATCTCCCTTCGATTGTAACTTCAATTCGCTAACATCCGGCAGCATCGCACAAGCAAAGACCGGTACCGGTAAAACACTCGGTTTCCTCATCCCTATCATCCAACGAATTATCGCGAACGACCCCCAGCTCGGCGAGAAGGTCAGAGGATACAAGCGCGCCAGACCAGACGATATCCGCGGCATTGTCATTTCGCCAACCCGTGAACTGGCAGAGCAGATCGCTGTCGAGGCGAAGAAAGTGGTCGCCGGCACGGGCATCATCGTGCAGGTTGCTGTCGGAGGCACGCAGAAGAGGGCTATGCTTCAAAAGACTCAGCGCGAGGGGTGCCATCTCATGATTGCTACTCCCGGACGACTGATGGACATCCTCTCAGACCCTTACTCCGGTATCAAGGCACCAAAGCTCAGAGCATTGGTCATGGACGAGGCGGATCGCCTCATGGACGACGGTTTCCAGAAGGAGATTGAAGAGATCAAGAACTTCCTTCCCGACCCAGCCGAGGTCGAACGCCAGAACCTCATGTTCTCCGCTACTATTCCCCGCGATGTCGTCAACCTAGTTCGCCAGATCATGCGCCCCGGCTTCCACTTCGCCAAGTGCGTCGATGAGAACGAGGAGCCAACACACCAGCGTATCCCGCAAAGACTCGTTCATTTGAACGGTTTCGAGAACGTCATGCCCACACTTTACGATCTGATCCTCCAGTCACAACAAAAGGCACAGGCTGGTGAAACCCGACCCTTCAAGGCTATCGTCTACTTCAACAGCACCGCTGAGGTAACTCTCGCAGCATCAGTCTTCTACAAGCTCAACGGCGGCTTCAAGCGCAACACCCCTCTTTCTGGCACCAGATGCTACGAGATCCACGCCAAGCTCACTCAACAGCAACGTTCAAGGGCTGCAGATGATTTCCGTCTCGCAAAGTCCGGCATTCTCTTCTCCTCGGATGTAACAGCCCGTGGAATGGACTTCCCTGAAGTCACCCACGTTATCCAGATTGGTCTTCCCCGTGAGCGCGACTCCTACATTCATCGTCTCGGTCGTACTGGACGTGCTGGCAAGGAGGGTGAGGGCTGGTTGCTCATCTCTCCCTTTGAGAAGCAAGAAGTCCGCCGTCGTCTCCGCGACCTGCCTCTTGTCGACGCCACTGATATGCTCGAGACTGCCACCGTTGATATGAGCGAACCGGCCGAGCTCCCTGAGAACGTCGCAAAGATTCTCTCTGATACCGTCGAGGCACACAAGAAGGTCTACCCCGACCAACTCGACGCCGCATTCCGTGGTCTGTTCGGAAGCTACCAGTGGTACGGTGACAAGCAGGGTCTGCTAGAAGGTGCGAACCGTCTGGCCGAGTTTGGCTGGGGCATGCCATCCCCACCCCCACCACCTGCTAGCCTCTTCTCCGGAGGCCGCGGACGTGGCGGCGGTGGCCGTGGAGGCTTTGGTGGAGGACGTGGCGGCGGCGGTGGCTTTGGTGGTCGAAGCGGAGGCTTTGGCGGTGACCGCGGCGGCCGCAGTGGAGGTTTCGGAGGTGACCGTGAAGGCCGGAGCGGAGGCTTTGGTGGTGACCGAGGTGGTCGACCTGGAGGCTTTGGTGGTGACCGTGAAGGCCGGAGCGGAGGCTTTGGTGGTGACAGGAGAGGCGGTGGCGGTTTCGGCGGTGACCGCAGAGGAGGAGGTGGTGACAGGAGAGGAGGTGGAGGCTTCGGTGGTGGTGACAGGCGTGGAGGCGGTGGCTTCGGTGGTGACCGACCAAGGAGAGAGGCCCGCGAGTTCTAAACAGCTACCCAGCTGTTGAAAGGAACTCCCGCTCCTTTCTTCCTCCCCGCTACGTCGTCGAGATGTAAGTCTGTCACACCTTCCGTCACGCCTTTTTTCCTTCTCTTTCTTGTACTATATACCTGTATACCCCCCACAGCAAGCTTGGAAACGAGGGATGATGACGGAGACATGTCGTTGTATCGATACACTACTGGTTGCATTGGGCGGCGTTTACAGGATCATGTCCCGCTCCAAAAAGCAGCAGCGCATGTTGTTGTTGTTGTCGCCGCAGCGATCTTTTTGGTTATGGTTGGTAACGAAACGTATAAACAATCTCCATTCATACTTCTGGAGTTGGGTTGTTGATGTAAAGCTAGTTGTAGTTAGTTGGTTTAGGTTGAAGGAAAAGTTTTAGTTATCTGAGAAGAGAGTGTTTTGGGTTGATGGATATGTGATGGAGGTGATCTGTGTATGTTGTTGATGGTGTTTCTTTTTAAAGGCATGCTGGGTATATGATGGAGGTAGTAGTAACTACTACGTTGAAGATCGGAAGGACTATGCCTTTGGTTTTTCGAATCCAAAGCTACATATGCAACATCTTCTTCGGTCAATCACCCAAACATCCTCCATCCTCTCAGTCTCTATTGTAGTCACAACACTTAAACGCGTCAGCAATGCAAGATGCTCTGCACTGCAAAGTCGGCCCGTAAAACTGTCCACACACCACGACAGACCCCGAGAATCCAAGCTATGAGCTAACAGAATTTCGTGCTTCCTCCCCCCACTAGTTTCCTGTGCATTGGCCAGTGGGACACCGTTCATGAAGTTTTTACTACAGGTTGATTTATTAGATGACATAGAAAACACCGAACGATTG